ATAAATAAAGAGTTCTTTAATATTTAAATTATTATATATTTAATCATTTTTATTTTAAAGTTTCATATAGTTTAAATTATAAAACATATAATTCATTAAATAATTAGTTTATTAATTTTTATTAATCTTTTGTCTCTTTAGCTTTGAAAATTTATTTAGTTTTTTCAAAATGGTTTTTCATTAGTTCAACTAACAAAATTTCCGGTTGGAATTTGCATAGCAACACATGGTCTGTTATATTACATGGATAAAAAAAACAGAAAACTGTTTTACAGTGTGGACTATATGGAACCTGTCCTATAAAATTAATTAAATATCTTTAAAAAAATAATATAAAAATAATTTTAAGGACATTTAAATAATTTTACGGAGTGGACTACATACAGTCCGCCCTGTGTAAAACAGTTTTCTCTTAAAAAAAAAATGAAAGACCTCCCATTTTTATTATTAACAGTAAGGGGTTGCAAATTTTCATATCAACCTAAAAAAAAAGGGTACATAAATACTTAGATAATATCAAAAGGTAGTTTTTTTTTTTATGAATACATTTTAATAAAAACTTTAGATAAAAGGTTCATAACATAAAAATGAATTATTAAATTTAGGCATTTCAAAAATTCTATAAACAATTAGTTTTCTTTATGGTTCTTTGAAAATCTAACTAAGTTCAGTTCTTTTTTTTTTAAATTTTTGAGTGGAATAATATTTTTAAGTTTACTAAGCCTATAATGGATTGACCAATGAGTAGCAATGGTTGCTACACAAACTCAAACCATTCCATTGATTATATTAACCCATATTTCAATAATATTTTGGTGATAAGAAATCTAAAGCAAGAAGCTCTCAAAAGTATTAATTATAGAGAGATAAAGTGGCAATTAGATTTGGAAGAAGGTAGTCAAGTGTTTTTGTGGCCTAAGATGTGTTCATGTGGTGATATCTTGTTGGGTTAGGTGTTGTGCATCAATAAACTAATCCTTTAACCAACTCTTGAGGAATTGGGCCTTTAGAAATCTTATAAGTCTAATTTGATGTGTTGGGCTATTGTCCCAACGGTAATGACCTAGGTGGAGCAGATTTTTTTTTAAACATACAGGTCTCTCTGGGGCAAAAATCAATACAGCTCTTTGAAAAAGAAATGGTCAGATTCTAGAAAACTAAAAAAAGTTTCAGAAATCATCATTGATTACAGAATTTCTGTTTTACTGATTATTGATATTGAGAAACAGATTGGTTAATTTGATCATCCTGAAGTATCTAGATTTCGGTCATTGCATTCATATTTTCCAAAACCATAGCTGTTCTTTCAACATGCTTCAAAAGAATCCCATATATTTTCTTCTTGATCCTCCCACAAGCTTCTAACTCACTACTCCCTGGCACAGAACCACTGCCATTTCTTTCCCTTTTCTCCATCATATCCAACCAGTCATTCAGCCTCTTCATCTGACACATTGTTTCAGTAAACTGGCTATCAGACAACTTGAAACCGGATTCTTCAACAAAGCCATCTAAATATTTCTCCAAGTAAGCCAAAAACCATGTTCTGGATTCATCCTGAAGAGATTGCACAAGGTCTGCAGCTGTGTTCAAGGCACTTCCCTTCACCCAATCCGGTTGGTTTTCCTTCTCAGCAGCCAATCCAACATAAACTTCATCAATGCTCCTTTGCTTCCTAGCAATAAGTGTGCCTTTTGGTTTATTAACATGAATTTGTTTGTTTCTTCTTCTTGTTGTGTTGTTAGCTTCCATTGAAGCATTTTGTGGTTTAACAGTGGAAACAAGGGTAAGATCAGATGCCACGGCAGCTTTTATCCATGTGGTTGCATTTCTCTTTCTCTCCACAGCCAGTTTTAGAGCTTCTCCAATGGATCCACTACGATGAGAATCAGTTTCAGGTGTTCTTAGGGGAGAAATATTTGTTAATGACTGAATAATTCCTCTGCTTTCAACCATGTAATCTTGAAACTTGAAAAACTTGTCAATTGAATCCTGTTGATCATCCTCTTTAGCCAACCGGAGCTCTGAAAATGAACTGAAAAACAAAGAAATTGTTGAGTGTTTCATTTTATAGGAGACAAAAGGAGATGGCAAACAAATTCATGAAGACTTAAAAAAACAACAAAAAGGCTGAAAATTTCATTTCATATTCACAAACAATTCCATGGAGAAACTAGCAACGCTGAGTCTTTTCCCAGCTTGCAACCCATACAAGTAGAAATCTCAATGATAGGTACAGACACCAACATTCCAGTAGAAACAAAATATCTAAGTCTTGGACTGAAGACATGTCCCGACCTACAATGCCACAGCAAAAAATGGGGAGTATAGAATCAACACCAGACACAGCAGTGAAGGTAAAAGACTGAGGTAAAATGAAGTCTCTCTATAAAGGAGAGCTTGCCAACTCTATGGTGCAAGAGGATTGCTTCAGTTATCCAAAAACCTGGATATATAGGTGGTATTGCAAAAAGAAAGAAAACACAATTCAACAATTATAGGAAATGGGGACATATCTATTTGAAAGGGGAGCTTGGCTATCAATGATATAAAAAACGAAAATCAGAAACAGTATCTATTTTATTTTTTTCATTTACTCCGAAACACTAACAGTGCAGCAACAGGAAATTTTTGTCAAACTTGTTAAGAACCTACTGGCTAATTGCTCAATTATACTTAACTATATGCCAGTATCTGCCCGGATTAGCTTGGCAACTTTGATGCTTCAGGCCCTACACAAAGTAAGTGTCATCATTTATGCTTTATCCTGCCAATTCAGGATGACTGAAACAAGACTATACTTAGTCATACATGATTGGATGACTCCTTTGAAGATTCAAAGGGGCCTTGCAGTAATTAATTCTCAGAAAATCAGCCAACACTCTAGTCTTAATGTACCAATGTCAATTAATTCTTTCTAAGTCGTATAGTTTCCATCATGTATCTTGGCTTCTCTTAGTTTTTGTTGAAAAGTTATGAAGTAATTAACTTTGTACTTTCTCGGGTCAAGTTTCCAATTAGCATGAAGATAAAATGAATCTCCAATATTTATTGCAGTAAGCCAATTTCATGTTGCACATCCCCTCCTTGTTAATGTATGAACACTCACAAAACCATAGGTCCATCCCAGCAGTAACCAGAATGCGCCCTAAATGCACTGCAACTTTAATCCTTGGTATAGAGCAAGAAGTATTACATGCAGATATGCAACATTTTTACATGGCATGGAGAAGCCAAAATGAGAAATAATAATAATTGATAAGAGAAGAATAATAAATTCATCCTGCTACTCTTCAAGACAATCTTGAATGGAAAAATCAATTAATGTGTTCTCGACAGAAATCTATATTAATTTATACCTAGCTAAGACTGATTGTAAACAAAGATGTTCTGAATTATATGTTTCATGCATGGTACCTAGTACTCCCATTTAAATAGGCAAAGCAACCTTTGTAGGTTCATCTTGAATGATATACTTCAATAATTAACAATGCTACTACCATATTCAAACCTCGATAAAACAATGAGATGACTCAGAAGTAAATCTGTAAGAATGTGTTTAACTCTACTCACTGAATAAACCACACAGGACTTTTCATAAATGTACAAAGGTACAATTGAGCACCTTAGACACTTGAGCAATCTCTCAGCAGCAGCAGCTTCTTGCAAAGCCTCAACTGCAGCAAGTAGAGCCGCCTCTTTTTGCCTTAATACCTCCTGCAGTTCAAAGGGATTAGTAAAACTTTTGAAATTTGCAGGATGTATATCACAAGAAGAAAAATAAAGTAAAATGTAATACCTTCCCCAGTTTAACTAACGTCAAGGGAAGGCAATCCCACAAAATCTCAGTTTCTGCCCATTTTCTATCACTTGGGGAAACTTGAACTCCTGCTTGAGTTAAGAGCTCTTTACCGTTTCTCTCTGACAAAGAGTTCTTACTCTTGTTCAAACTTCTAACAGGCTTTGTGGCTAAGCTAATGTCTTTAATTCTTGTTCTGGTGCTTGAATTTTCCTCACAGTTTTCATAACTAGCAGTAGCAGAACGGACAGGTGAACCCTGTAAATTCTGTGAGATTAAGGTAACATATTTTCGAGCCCAAGTGACATACCATGTTGGAGTGGAGGCTTCCAAATATAAATAAAGCCAAGAACTAGCAAAGCCAAATGCATGAAAGCAACACACTTTAATATTAATTCAGTCAATAGAACATGATACTTGGTTTCTGCTGCATTATAGACTTGGAAGAAGAAAGGGACTATATAAACAGGAACTTACACAAACCCTGTGATTGTTACAATGAACAGGCTTTATCTCATGCTTGACAACCGTGCAATCTGAAAATTCCCCGCTTCTTGTTTTTGCTATCCCAGACCAGCTTTTTCTCCTGGGATTTGATACCGTGCTATCTGAATCGCTATCTTTATCACCACAACTTGGCTTCCTACCCCTAGAACTCCAATCTTCTGGTGTGCTTGGCCTGCTGTGGGATGCTCCACTCTCTCTTCTCTCCCTTGGCTGCACATTATGAGGACTCAAAGACCTATACCTTGCTCTAGGCTTATTTTTCACATCATTTCTCCCTCGCATTGCCAACATAGATGGTCCGCCAGATTTCTCCAGGATATCAACCCCAAGAAGATCTCGAGGATCCCCAATACAAGGCTTCCTACCCGGAATTGGCATCACCCCTTTAAGCACTGGAACTGGGTATGCAGCCTCCAATTTGTCCACATATATGAACTGCCCTAGTTGCAGCTTGTTACATAGCACCATCTCATCTTCTTCTGGGGCCAAAGACACGAACATTGCCTGAGTTGAATCTGCAACTTTCAAGAAAAACCCTTCACTAGGCCAAAGATCCCCCTCAGCTAATACGGGAATTATGCTCCTAATCTGCAACAAAACAGGGTTTTTAACATCATCTACTGCTTTTTCCTCCACTCCCATGTCTTTAAGAAGCTTCGAAAGAACCCCAGACGTCAAAGATTCCATTTTTCTCAAGAAACAATCAAAAACTAAAAATTCTCATCACAATATTCTGTATGCAAATGCAAAAAAAAATTGATGGGTTCTGCGATTTTTCTTTCCAAATGACTGGGTCAAAAACATTGAATATGGAATCAGAGAGGCAAAAATCAAAGCGTCATCAAAGATGGATTTTCTTGGTCTAAGGGAATGTTAAGAATGAGTCGTAGTTAGGCTGTGAAACAGAAAGAACTTCAAAATTGAAATGGAAAAATTTGTGGTTCTGTATTTTTGGATGTGTAAAAATTAGAAATTTGCTGGGAATTGCAGAGAGAAGGGTTTCAATGAAAAGGCAGTTAAAACGGTTAGGACATAGGCCATTTTGTTATCCCCACAAATTATAATTGTAATTTTATTAATTTATAATTTTT